TCTGGACCTCGGCTCTCCGCTTGGGCACGGGAGTGCCCATGAGGTTTATGACGGCCGCGATGAGGTTTGCAAACATAGAGACTGCAGCCGACATGGCGACACCCCGAGATGCGGCAAAAAACGCGGGAGGCAGCACTCTCGATGGCGTGCGAAACCGATATGCAGGGAAAAGGGTGGTGTTCATGTCAGCTGCCGCGGGCAGGTCCTGAACTATCTTGAGTGCTTGCTGGTTGAAAAGGGAAAACACATAAGTCGCAATGGGATTCTCCGGTAGGGTTGTCTCCAACTACCAGAGAACCTTCCCTTTCAAGAGGTCATTTTGAAGACTTGGTATCTCAGAAGTGGGGAGTTCCAACCAAGTGGTTGCGGATGGGGAGAGCAACTCAAATGCCCCAAAAACAAGTATACAGCACAAGCGAGCTTTTGTAGGGAAACCAAGAGGAAAACCCGGATCTCCCAAACACGGACACACCCAAATGCAAGAAACACAAGGGGAACAAGTTGCGGGCAACCTTCAGTCGGCCTTCTTAGGCATTCTCAAGACCAACTGTCTGGTGTCTGAAGAGGAGGATAGCACAAAAGAAGAAGGAACATCTAAAACGGGTTCCACTACCCCCAAACCAATACCCCAGAGGTTGAATTGGATATGCAGCCACTAAAAGGGTACATACCCCAATGTCCGATTTCCTCTGGGGGTAGTGGCTTGGGAGCAGTGCGCACCATCTTAGAATAAAGCCATGGATGGCTGCGAACTCTGCATCCATGTGGATCCAGGCCCGGATCCTGCCCTTCAGCGCGGTCTGCGGGACACAACGGCATGCTCATCAAAACATGATCGCTCGAACCCCGTTGGTGCTGCCAACAACTGATCGATAGATGTTGTTTCGTTGCGGGTGAAGATCTATATAGCCCTCACGGCCATGACTCTAACTAAACCAGCGAGGGTTGTTGGCTAAATCGGCCAACAGCGGTTCTCGACGCTGCTCCCGAAATATGATGTTCAGGGTTGGTGCCTTCTATGTGAGCTGGGCCGTTCAAGATCCTTTCATGTGGGCACGGCTCATTTCGCTCTTCCGTCTTATGTTCGCAGCCCCAGGGCTTGGTCACAAAGACTGCAACCCGGGAAAAGGACCAGTCAAAACGAGGAAACATGCCAGGTGAGGACGTCTCCTTACAACCTCGACACCCACACTAATTTTGGAATTTGTGGCCTTTGAGGGAGTCATGTTGGCCTCATGTCAAAAGCATGGGTGTGCTTTTGGGAAAACAGATTGCCCTGGTAGATTATAAGACCAATGTGTTTTGCCTGGGCCCTTTCTTCTCAACTAAACTCGGTTGATTTTTGCTCCCCTGGTAAAAGTTTAACTTTTAGTGGTTTTTAATAATGATAATTAAAAAAACAAAAAAAAAACAGTTGGCAAAAGTTAAAGTCCTAACATCCGTTGGCAACATGCACCTCTGCAAACTGAACAAACCGAATACCCGTCAAAAAGCAATTCAGCTCGCTCATCTGGCAGTCCCTAACGCTCTCGGAGATGCTCGCTTTGAAGGCCCGGGCGGTGACCCTTTCGCTTGAAGTGTCCTCCTTCAAACCACAAGGCGCAACTCATTTCACTGGATGGGGCTCAATTCTATGCCTGAATTCGTTGGGGCGCGTCCCAGGCCCACCAAGCCACGCCAGCAAGACCAGAGTGGCTTGGTTGAGAAGGGATCCGTGGCCAACAACGCCAGGCGCTTCTTGGTGTCGATGACCTGAAGCCCAGATTTGGGTCTGTCCCAAAAAGGGACGATGCCACAAAAGGATTTGGTCTCACTCTTTGGCTGCTCCAACCAATCTCAAAAGGGTACTAAGCCTCAAAAACCACGAGCCACACATAGCTTGAACCCCCGTTTGGAACGCTGAATGGAAAAAGCTAGCCTTTGCCTGGAGGAATTGGTCCAATTCAGAGAAAAACCAACAAAACACATTCACGACGGCCCGCAACACGTAATCCAAAGCTTCTAGCGGATGAGGTGAAGGGCGCTTTGCTCTTCCGTGACTTTGGGCTGTCCGTTTGTGATCCTCTCCCAACGCTTGAACCAGTGAGACAAATGGGTATGGCTCAAAAAAACGGTACCAAAATGGGTTGCCCTGGTACGTGGAAACATGGACCAAAACCTGCGTAACCCTAGCTCTTGAATTTTGAGCCACAGCCAAATGGAAACCCAATCACCAACTCAAAACAACTAAAGACCTAAGGAACCGAGCGGGAACAAGGACCCAAGCATCAAAAGCTCCGGCGTTTCTCCAGAAAAGCTGCGCTGTTTTGCTCGGGAACATGTTGGAAACCCCAGAATGGCGAGCAGGGTGAAGTCTGGCATTGTTGACTTGTTGTTCCCCTTGTGGTTGTTTCTTCGTTTGTTTGTTTTTTTTGCCGGAAAGAGAGGATCTCCCGTTAATCACACATAGCCAACCGTGATATATAGATTCCGGCTCACAACTGTTCAACATTCATGGATGAATTCATGCTCAACAAACATGGGACGTGGTTACTACTAGTGGGCTGCTTGCATCTGTCAAATCAAATATGTTTTTCCAACACGGAAGCCAACCTTCTTTCCGGAATATCTGTTGTCGCTTTCCAAAAGCAAAGGCCAAGCAACAGTTTGACCCTTTTCGGCACGTGCACTTGGAGTGTGCTGATTTGCTGCACAGCACTTACGTCCTATGTACATAACCTGCCACGCTGCTTTGCAGTCTAGGCACGAATAAAATCAATGCGCATGGTTCAACCTGTCCAACATGGACATGCCAATGACGTGTTTAGCAGACTCCGAGAAACTAAAGGGGAACAATGTCGCTGAACAGCTGGGAGATACTCAACTTTGACCGATCACAAGGTAAACCAAGTCTATCCTTGAGGAGGAGTTCAGAGGTACCGATGAGTTCTAGCAATGCCATTTTGAAGAACCTTGCTCCCGTCATCCTTTGTCAGATGAGAAGGAATAGGTAATTGTGCATCGCTACTGCCAAGCAAAACTAGTTGTTGAACAAAAGGATGCCTGCTGGATTGACTCCTAAAAACAAGATGGTTGCGTGTCAAGCCACGTTGTCCTATGTAGATACCCGACAGAAATACGGGATGTAGCACGATGGCCCTAACTCGGATTTGCCCTGTTTCGTGCCGCTTACGTACACTGCCAACAAAGGCACTTGGCAGGGCAAGTTGATGCTTGTGTTGGCTGAGAGGACACCCTGGTAGTAGACAAGGCTTCAAATTGAATTCCCCTTCCGAGGAACCTTCATGAGGTCGCAAGCCTAATCCCTTTGTGACGCTATCCGGCACGGAGCAAAGGAACGAAACCCATTTGCTACTTGAAGCTCAGACAAATGGAGCAAACTTGCATATGAGTATGGAGCAAAAAAGAGGGAACCCAACAAATAATGGTTCCCTCTTGGATTTCTTCCTTTAGGGAACAGGTTACCATCAAAACACACACACACATAAAGGAACAAACTACAGAAGGCCAGGTCAATCGTGCGCACAACGGCCCATTGGACCGACATCGGATGCACCGCGGAGAACCCGGACAAAAATCGGATCCTGGACGTGTATTCCTGTCCAAAACCTTTGAACAATGTTCGAGGGTCAAGCAGGAAACTGACAGCACTTGGAGCAACACACAAGCCAAAGGCAACCAAAAAGTACCCTCCTTGCCAGCTTTGTTTGCGAAACATCTGACAAGAATCTGTTGTTTGGACACTGTGCATCGAAGCGGACAGCGAAGTGAACAACGCAAGAAGCAAACATGTACCCGTGCAAACATCACAATTCTGGCTTCAGGCCTATCAAACATGTCATTGGCCTTTCATTGATTCCGTTTGCCAGCGTGTAAAAACACTGGTTACACAGAGCGCGTAATATAGCACAATCATCGGAGTAAGTGTCCGAACTCCTTTGCAACACTAAGCAGTCCACTTTTATGCGTTCCTGTTTATGAATGTTCATGCAATGAAGTTGTTCAAGACAACATTATTCGTGCATTGTCGACGCCGACTAATCAACCACACCAATAACTTGCTTGAATGGGACGCCCTATCACCCACGGCGATATCTTTTGTTGGGGCTTGTTTTCAACAAAGCCAACATGAAAACCGAAGCCCCGTTTATCCCCAAACCCATGAAGGGGCCTTTCTGTCATCTGTATCAAAGCAGGCAGAAGCCGAAACAAAAAGGGAACCACCATTTTTATGGACCCCCAAAAAAAGACACACCCATGTGGCCGTGGGTCAAAATCCCGTAACCCCAGGAACATCCCAATCCCCACTAATATAGACTAAAATGGGTGGTGCACCCACCCCAACATGGTACCATATTGGTTTTGACCCACACCCATATGACTGGGATTTCCTTGGCACCTTTCATCCAGGACTTTTTTTTGGGCTGCGGTGAGATCCACCTCGCCCATCTCATTCCAGGGCAAAGTGAACTCCACAGCCAGCTTTTCCGGGAACCCCGGCAAATGCTTTCAGAACTTGTTGCTTCCAGTGAAGCACTGTAACCATAGGCATCCTTTCGGAAAAATAGATGGGTTTCCCTAGTAAATGAACGTAAACGCAATCTAAACCAGTGAACTACTCATGTATGTTTAAGCTAAAAAAGACACCTATGCGTGTAACTTCAACACTTATCTCAGCTCAGTGAACACAGTTCCAGCTGAGCTCTAGCCAAACCGCTGCAGGCCGGCTGCGGGACTTGACTTGAGTAATAGGGTGGAGACTCCTCTAGAAGTGTCTGCGGAGACAGCTTGCTTTCATATACCAGCCTCCTCGTAAGCTGTCTTCTTTGGTAAGGTACCCTTTTTGGGCTTGGTTTGAAGGGGCACTTCAGAAAAGACCCTCGCCTCCTCCACTGTTTTCTTTGGTACAAGGTACCCTTTTTGGGCTTGGCTTGGGGCTGGCTCGAGGCGCATGGCTTTTTTTTTTGTGAGGCTTTTTGGTTCAGCCCATTTCCAACGCCTCAGCTGGACAGGCCCTGGGGCGACGGAGTTCGTGCCATGGCCTGCCGCCTCCGATCGCGCCGCGCCCGCTCCTTCCTGAGAGAAACCCACCCCGTTGGATGGATGGAACCAACGGAGCCCCTGGACACGACGGGGTAAAAAAGACAGTGGTTGGTCGAGCGGTGATTTGTTTTTAGCATGTTTCATGAATGTCTTAACTAAAGAAAAAGGCGTTTGGATTGGGTTGATCATTTTGAGCATGAAAAAAGAAGACTTCTCACCCAAAGAAACGAACTACGTGAGAGGCACGGAACAACAAGGGAAGGTCGAAGCAAACAACACCCGACATTCCAAACACCACCAAGCTTGTCTTACCCGCCAGGTGAGCTTTCAGTGGATTATGCGGGCACTATGCCAATTCCACCGGAATTTAGACAATGGGTCGGGAAATACACACACCATCCATGCCATCCATGCCCTTGTTAGTTTTAAAAAAGATGCTCAAGACCCAGTCGCGAGACAAACATCTACAACAAGTCCAACAACCAAAATACGGGATCAAGTGCAGAAGCTTCATGACAAGTTCATTTTATCGGTGCGCTTGCCATAGAAAAGAAGAAGCAAACCAAACGCAACCTGCAACACATGTATCCTCATGATCAGAGTTAGGCCCGTTATAGAATGTATATTTTATTGTTTGCTTAACATGGAGTCACTGGCAACATGTAAAATGTATCCTAAGTCTACCCCAGTCCTGTTAAGTGTGGCTCAGACGCTTGCTCGGCCGGTTGGCCGCCTTGGTGCCATGCTCGTCGGCGTGGCAAAAGCTGCACAGCGCCGCGTTCCGGCAGAGGCCGCCTTGCTGCACGAGATTCATCTAGGTCCTCCAGTAGAGAGGTTAGAATACGGGTACCAACTTTTTTCTGTACTCCATTTTACTAGGGGAACCCTCCCCCAAAAAAGTTGGTACTAGGGCACCTAGCTGGGGGACCTAGTCATGGAACCACCAAAACAAGGATTTGTGAAGGAACTTCGAGTTAGAGAAGCATTTTGGGGCATAAGGTACTCTTCTGAGAAGCAAGACCAGGCATGAATCTAAGGTCTATCTTCCGGCCTTTTAACTGCCGCTGAAATGCAACAATATAGAGGGCGCCCAAACACTTGAAATGCACAATGAGCATGAGGCAAGTTCAATGATAGCTAACGACAGTTCATTCAAGACAACGTAACTGCCAGAAGTCAAAACACGCATTTGGGACCCGGAATTGTAATATATGCTGACAGTCCCCCCCAAAAAAAGAAAAGAAACAAATGACGGCCACAAGCCAAAGTAAGAGATCATGAATTGCAAGTAGGCCCTATTGTCAAGAATCTCTGGCTGTTTGCTCGACCTTTAGCAGAGTCTTTATTTCTAGTGTTCCTTCAGGAATGTGTCCGCCCTGATCGATATAGTCTGACATTTACGTATGAGCAGGGTGAGGCTGTTCAACCTGAGTTGCCCTGAACAAAGTTAGACGCGTTGTAGCATGCCAAGAAAAGAGACGTTCTCCCCAAACTTCAACAGGTCATTCCGGTCACAGCTTGAACAACCCAAAAGCCGTGTGCTTCATACCCGGACAATTCCCTGCAGTTCAGCGCCTCACGTGCAAGCAAGGGGGGTGAGTGAGCTGGCAATCTCCCAGTATCCTCCCCCAGCTCCACGCGGACGAAACCAAGGTTAGTTTCCTTCGTCCACTTGTGGAAGCTAAAACTTGCCAAGTAGCTTGCAAGGGGCATACAAAGAACTTTAAAGAACAACGGGCACCTGCGGAAAACATCGGACAAGTTGGCAATAAGTTGAGGACCCCTTTGGGGATGGCTTTTGAGAGATCGGTGGAAACCACCGATGTTGGGCTTCCTTGAGTAAACATGCTATCCAAATTCTATCCATTCTCATCTTCAGACACCACTCTTTTTCCCTTGCATGGGTATTGACTTTGGAGGTCCGTGTTCGGAAGGGGAAATGGATCCCTGCACAGAATCGGAAGGATTGGGCTTGAACCATGCTGTGCTTGTACGCCGAAGCTGCTAACTTGGTTTCTGGGCCAAACAAAGGCACAAGGCCTTCCTGAAGTGGAAACCGCCAACTCCCGTTGAATTCTTAAGCCCCCCTCACCAACAGCTATGAGGACTTCCTGTGTGTATCACTCGGCGAGTTGCGTGGGGCGAAGGTACAGGGCCGGCAGAGCTGCGCCGAGTGAGCGACCCACCACCTCTCGGATCAAAGCGAAGGCCCGGAGCCCGGAGAAATCGAAGATGAGAAACCTGCCTAGATCCCCAGTTGCATGGCGTGCAGAAGCATCCAGACCCCATTGCGCCCCAGTTGCAACCACCTAGATCCCCAGCAAGGCCTTTATGTTCCAGCGTTGTTTTGACCAAATTATGGGCTAGTTGGTGAAGTGCCTGGAAAAAGGTGGCTACTTGGGGTTCCAGGTGGTACTCAAATGGTCTACCCTCCCACCAATTCACGTGGAACCTGACGTTGGGGGGCCTCTTTGAAAGGAAAATGGTCCAAACCAGGCCCCCCGCCCCCGTCAGGTTCCATGTGAATTGAATTGGTGGGAGGGTACCCAGAACCATGTAAAGAATTAACAAGGCGGCTGCACCCATTTATGGTCGGGGCTATCCTTTACTAACCTTCATTTACCCGAGTTTTGATTGTGGCTCACTTATCGAACGAACGGCGACTTGACATGGATGCGTACAGGGATACCGCTGTCCTAGCATTGCTCGCTTGGTGTTTGTGGGGAATAAGGGAAAGAACTCCACCACGCAATTTCGAAAAGGACTAGTTTATGGCAGGTATCAGGTTGTCCCCATCTTCCCTACTAAGCACGAGCTAGATTGCAATTACTCTCAACTGCAACAAGCAGTACAGTAAGGAGGAAATGGTTGTGACCGCTGGGATCGCTGCTTTTGGTCCTCTATCAAGGGAATCTAAGATAAAACCCGGAACATGGGTGGTTTCCCTTTGGGTTTTCAAGCAGGTTCGGGCCTGTTGGGTTTCGATCCCCAGAAGGGGGAAACCCAGAAGCCCTTCCAGTAGTTGGGCTACACAGTCACAAATGACCATGGACGAAACATAAACCCAAGTGGGTCCCTCATTCTAAAATTGTCCATTTTGACCAAATGGAACCATTGACAAAGTCCTGAGAAAGTACTATAAAGAAGGCGCTTCCCACAAACTGACTTGGTTGCTTCACGATACATGGGGGGTTATCAAACCCATGGGATCCTTGTTGGACCCATTTTCAAGGCGGGCCCCACATCAACCAGGCCCAGAAAGGGGCCCTGATTTTTGGACACCCCTCGCTCACTCGCGAAACCGAAACTCACCTGGGCAGGTCCCATCGCTGATGGTCCAACAGCAGGCGGCCCATCACAGAGAGCCGGGGGTTGGGCGAATGCAGCAGTTGCTGCACCTGGTCTTGCCAACCCGCCTGCACGTTTCAAATCGGCGAAATCTCGTACCGAATGGTGGGAAAACGGGACTTCTTGTTGGGGCTGACATTCTTAGGAATCCAACAAACAAGGGAAGCGGTTGCAAAGCTGCAACTGAACACTTGAAAGAGAAAGGAAGGCAAACTAGTTTCATGCTCAAACACATTTCAGACGAGTTCAACACGGAAACAAACCACATACTCACAATGAGAGGAAGGAAGGCAGATTTCCATGTCATCTCGCTTAAGATGTCGGACAAGCCAATTGACACCCACGTTTTCCGGAATGGGATGGAAAACATGTGCCGGAGCCCCGCAAGTAAAATGCAGAGGCTTCCCTACGCGGAATGGGATGCAGATTCAGCCCACTCATTGAAACGAGGGGCCTGTAGCCAGTATCTCCAATCTCCTGGTTTCCCCCTCCCCCTCTCCTTGAAACCATAAAATGCAAATTGCAACTTGTTTCTTGAGAAGCTTCTGTCATGAACATATTGTAAAGCATCACGCGGTCAGTGGTCGGCTAACTTGCAAGCAGGGGATCATCTGACCTTAGATGCCTTGTTTCAGGAAACTCGAGAAATCCTTCCTTATAAAAAATGAAAAGAAATAAGCATAGAGGGCCGTTCCCTCTTCTTGGAAATGCAAATCTGCAGGGACGGTAGGGTTCTGAGCTGCCCTCCTCTCCCCCTTCAGGTAGGCCGTGATATGGGCAAAGGCGTAGTCATCTTGCAAATCGAGGGAAGCCATTGGCCAAAGATGACTTTTGCCATGTACCAAAGTTGCCATTGCCAGCTCAAACAGCCCCAAACTCGCGCTTCGCCGGGGCAAAGCCGACAGTCTGCCAAGCAAAGGGGGAACATTCGATACATTTCGGGCGGACTAGAGGTTCCAGAAGCCTTCGGCGCGCAAAGGCAAGGGTCAAGGCGAAATATCGGAAACAAACCTGGGCTACCCTCAGATCCCCCGCTAAAGGTTTAACTTTTAGTGGGTTAAATGGAAACTACCACTAAACACTAAAAGGCTAAAAAGCTAAAAAGCTAAGGGGATGGCTGGGAGCCACCAAGATATCAAGCAACAAGCAAGAAGCAAAACAAAACAACAAACAGCAAGCAACAACAAACAACCAACAAACAACAAAGGACCGCCCCAAACCTGTGCATATCTTCCCCACACAATTGCAACTGTGTCGTTTGTCGGTCAAATCACAACACACATTTGATGAACCAGTATTCAGCTTGGGTCTCTTCCACCGGACGCTGCGCTCAGCTTCCTTTGCCTTCTGCAAGAACGGGTTGAAATCAACAAACCAATCCAAACCACCGAGTAAGAATTGCCTAACTTTAGTTGTCTGGAAAGCAAGCGGAATTCCGAGGGACACCGAAAAGGGACTGCAAGAAAATGTGCTCATGACGGGCCTCGCCAAGCTTCTTTCATGTGGTTGAGTTCCTTTCGCTTTCAGAGACAAGGAACCGTAGTTGCGACTAGACCCCAGAAAGGGGAACATAGCCCCATAGGACCCCAGGAACTGGTTTGACACCAGATGAACACCAAAAACTTGGTAAAACCAGATGAAAAACCAGGAGCCGGACATGAGACATGAAACACCCACTCCAATTTCGGAGAAAAACCTAGCCACTCCCAGTTGCCCACTTGGAGAGAGAGAGAGAGAGAGAGAGATTGCCTCGGCTCTCCGGAGCGCGCCCATGGCCCAAGGCGCTCAGTCCCAAGCCCTCGATCCGATTTCCCCACTTTGCCTGCAGGTCATTGGAGAATCCCGCCAGGGCCACCTCGAACTGTTTCGCCTGCTCCTGTCGTAAAGTGCGCGTGGGACCTGTTTGCTTTTTGGCTCCTTTTTTCTGCAGCGTGGCGGATTTTTAAGGCTGGACCCGCCAAACATTGTGGCGTTCCTGGTTGCTTCCCTTTAAAAAAACCGAAAAAATGTACCCTCACAAAAAGAAACACATACCCGTAAGATGCTAGATAATCCAAGTGTAGCACTTCCTGCCAAAACTTTCCTCTGGGAGTCCTGCAAAAATGAACTCATCTCTTGAAGTTTTTTGTGGGAAAATCCGACGCCAGTCGAGCGTGTAGATGGCAGTCCGCAACTTGGTCTTCCTTCGGAATCTCTTATCAAAGCCGAAGGCTTTTGGGACTGCTATTTTTTGGGCATGCTGTGCTACGTGTCCAAAACCCTGTATTTGTCCAGTGTTTTTGTGTCTTTCGTGCTAGAAATCTGCGTTTCGCCTAGGTCTCTAGGGGGGGGGGTGGGTTTCCCCCGACGCGCAGGATCTGCATCCCCAGCATCATCAGGATTATCTTGTTGCCATGAATTTGTCTCTTTCTTTTGCAGATACTAGTGGCGTTTTGCTGTTTCAAGCGATGTTGGAATTGGCCTGTTAGGGGTTTGGGTGAAGCCAAGTGCAGTGACACTTGAGGAACTGTTGAAATCTGCAAAAAGTGAGTTTTCTTGCAATTCCCCACCTGTACGGAGCAGTTACTGCGAAACATCCCCTGCGTTATCGTGCTTTTGGAAGTCTATTCTTAGGGTATTTGAGGGGGGTTGCTATTATTTGATGGCTGCTTTTGGGAAATATTGAAAAAAACCCTGGTTTTTTTGCACTTTTGTGTGGCTAGCCGGCTGCATTCCCAGCATTCCCCACAACTCTCGTATTTTCTGTGTTTGGTCAATGTCGCGTGTGTGAAAGTCTTAAAATCTTGAGCGTGAAGATTGGGTTTGTTCTTGTAAGTTGTGTGGCTGCATCCCTTGCATTTCCAGCATCCTCAGCATCTGGGACATGAAAAGTGACCTAGGCAAAAAGACGTCTTTTTCCTGACCCCAAACTTGAGGCACCCTGCAGTTTGTTAATGGGGGACTGTCCACTGGCGTCGGCGGATCGCGTAGCGATTTCAATAGATGGCCCTGGTAGTTGATTGAACCACCAGGTAAACCAGGGCCCTCTATTTTTCGACCAAATCAACCAAAAAGGACACCTATGCAGCCTATGCATGTACATAGCAAAGCTCCAAGGGCAATCTCTAGGGACCTCGTCGAAGCCATGCTGGACCTTTTGGTGAAGGGCATTCGAGTGCCTTTCCATCAAAACCCGAACTCGTCGGGCTAAGCGTCTCGTGGGCTTCTCCCATACCCTGAGAGCCCATGATCGTTTCAGGGTGACTCTCCTAAACTTCGAAACAATCAGAGGCAAATAGCACATGCTGGGCGAGTTCGGCTTGCACGCAAAAGACGCCGGACCTCCCACTTTGGATAACCTACCTAGATCAGTGCTCACCAACACCCACTATATATACCCACAATGTTCTGCTGTCAAACAAAGGGAACCTTAAACCTCATGTGAACATATCCGGACCATATCCCACGACCCAAAATTATGACCTTCATTGCTCACAAAAAAGAACCCATGTGCACATCTTCACTCACCATACACCGTGGCCCAAAACGCTCAGGTCTGCCGCTCAAGGGAATGCGACAAACGTGCACATGTGCTTCACCATATCATCAATGCTTCCAGCTCTCGGGAAGTGCTCGTAACTACAAAGCAAAAGGCTGCCCGAGCAGTAGGATTTGCGTCTATCGGAATCCGTGAGGTTTGCCCAATCGCGCTTCCCGACGCGAACCAATCCTTGGAATATGGTCCATATGTTGTGCTGAAGCTTAACATTCAAAACAATGAGATTTCAGAGCCATCAGACTACTTACTCGAAAGTGGGGCGTGTCCATTGACAACGGAACACTAGGGTGTGCGGGTGTGCCTGCTTGGCATTTCAACAGAAGCCTCCCCCGAAAAATTGGAGTCCAACAATTTTAGCAGACGCGCCTTTGTTTCAAGAGGCGCCAGCCAGTTCATTGAGAAGGCTTCGCTCAAAATAGGTTACTTAGTAAGCATTGGAGGGGCTACACAAATGATTGTCGGAGACTTGGCTTTGTGCTTCTCATCGGCTCCATGCATGGTTGTGGAACATGACCCTTTCTGCGACCCTTACTTTAAAACTTACGGGAGTTCCCGTGGTTGCATAAAAAACCCAAACCAAACCAAGTCCGCAACCGCTTCTACGAAGGGTGCCAGGGCCTTTTGGTTTCCTTCCGGTTTCCTTGTGGCTATGCCTTTGGTTGTTGTCGGGTTTGGTTTTGATTTCCTTTCGTTTTCCTTTTGGCCATTTGGGCTTCTGGAGGAACCCCCCATGATTGGCTTCCTTCGGACACCCGAAAAACAAAAAAAACGAAAAAGGACTGCGGCTTGCTCGGCTCAAAAGGAAGGAGCACTCAGCGGCTGCGAACCAAAGCTCCGGCCTCCATATGCTGCCGCTCGTTGCCTCCAGGCCCAAAGAGCCCACGCATTTCCAGCTGGGGCATGCGCTGAAGCAGCGCGGGCAGTACGTCGCTGGAGAGGGGCAAACCTGAATTTGACCACCCGACCCAGCGACGACTCTACACGCAAATCCACGAAAACCGAAAATCCCAGCAGATCACCGAAACTGGTCTCCAAAGCTAGGGGATTTGGGGGAACACTTTTCTAAACCAGGTGCGGAGTTTGCTCACTGGGCCAAATGGTATCCCTTGCATTTCTAGAAAACGCTTTGGATGCGCTTTTTGCGGCTTTCACCCGCTCTTCCCCCTGTTTGTTCTTTTTTAGCAGCCTTTTAGCACTTGTTTTTTTTCCGATTCTACAGCAGGTGGATCCACAGATTCCAAACCCCAGGCCAAGAAGCCCAAAAACTTCGCGAGCCCCCGGAAGGCCGTCTCTGGCTCCAGTACGAAGTCCTGTCGATAGGACGGGTTTCTTTTCCCAGATCCTGGCGCTTTCAATGGAAGACCCGACCCCTCCATTAGGCACCCCGGAGGTGGTTGGGGGTCTCAAAACCAGGTTGTTTGAAGGCCCCAATTCAATCGAATTGGCGCCTTTGGGTTGTGAAATTGGCTCGATTCTGAGTGCCGAAAGCCCATTGGCTGTTCTCGTTGGCTCTCTGCTCCCCTGAAGTGAATAACTTTTAGTGGTGTGATGGACAACCCATGAGTTGGCAAAGAGTTAAAGTTCTAACATTCAAGCAAAATGCACCAAAGTGTTGGTACCCTCCCATCAATTCACATGACACCTAACGTTGGGGGCCCTGGATTGGACCAGTTTCCTTTTGAAGGGACCCCCCAAAGGCCATGTTCTTCCGGTTGGGGTGGGCTATCCCTGGGACAGGCCAAGTTAAGCCCTTAAAAATTCCTTGGTTGAGGGGTCAGCCCCACACGGACAGAACCCACTTGGGACTTGAGTCACCGATAGCCATGATTACGACTCTTCATATGAATTGGACCCAACGCCCAGTTTCTCGCTACCACGCTCAGCCCATGGGGAAAAAAACACAACCTTGAAGGTTCCCTTTGCGGCTCCACCACTTCTCGATCTGAAAGCTGCGGCTTATTCAGAGTTTGTCTTCAGACGTCAAGCCCAGAGGCTGTAGGGAAGGGGGGCGATCACTCATTGAACTCAGGAGTTTTGAAGGGCATCATTCCCCAACAGCTCGAAGCTTTGGCATTTTCCCAAATAAGCTCTGGGGTGGCTGGGGCAGCTTTCAGGGACTTTTCCCGAGATTCGGTTCCAGAGGGTTCCGAGGATTACCTGGGCTAACTGACTCCCAGGCCGATCTCTAGACATAGCCCAAGCAGAACGCCTCTCTCTCTCGGGTTCAGTGACACTAGTCTGATTGCAGTCGGCGCAATTTGCCAGGCCCTGGAAACCAGCCCAAAACAAGAACACTACCATGCAACGTAGCCAAGGTGCGCCCCTGCCCCAAGCCACATGGTGGTGGGGAAAAAAAATAACAACGGTATCTGAGATACCAGTATGAGTCGTTCCATGGACTACCTTGTCACTTAGGGGATCCCCAAGGATATAAGAAAGTGGCATGCTCCAAGTCCGAAAGACCCCCTGCCCCACATAAAATCGGAGAACACATTATATGTTCAGCTCATGTGTCATATTCAGTTTCCCCTAAAATACCAATTTGGTTTTGGAGGAGACCCCCTCCCCCACCTTCAGATATGGACTGACCCATCGTCCTCCATGAAGAACAGCTTCACCTGCTGCGGGCGCCGATATTCCAACTTCGCCCACGCAACCATGTTCTGCAGATCCTCGGAATGCTGCGCAGCCGAAGGCAGGAAGCTCCTCGCATCGACCGCATGGAGTCCGGCGATGCGAAAAAAACAAATCAGTCGCGAAACCGGGTGCTAAATGGGTCAAAACCCAAATCGTTCCGCCAGTGAACATCCCAATCCCCACTAAAATAGTTAGGTTCTAAAATGGGTGGTGAATTCACCTACCCCAAAATGGGATCCCAGCCATTTAAGGGGTCGAGGACTTCAAGGGGGAAACAAAAACCGAAATGCAAAAGAAAACGAAACGGACAACTACTCAACACAAGGAAACACATGGGTATAGCACGCCTTCTGCAGGTATATTTGGCAAGGGGACCTTGTATCCATTGTAGTCAACACGAGTGTGCATCGAATCCTAGTATTTTGTTTGATGAAACGGTTGGTAACATAAGCTGGTATCTGTTTGAATGACTGGCCGTCTGTTTGAGAAGCCTGTTTAAAGTGTTCGATGCCTCCAAGCATTGCGTACTCAGTAAGGGTGCTCCTAACGAGTTGTCACTTCTCGTGCTGGTTGCTGTTGTTGCCTGCTAAAGCTACATGACTTGAGAGTTGATCACCTCCCTCACTCACTTCACACAGTGAATTTTGTCAAAGTTGACATAGTGGTTCTTCGTGTCGACTTGTGTTTTTGCACCCCTTTCAAGTGTTGCTAACTTCCCGTGACTGGTACAATATTTAGTCCACACGCAATATGAATGTCGCTTGTTTGCCCTCAATCAGAAATGCAAAGACTTGGACACAGGACCATGTCACTACCTCGCGAAAGGACAACCATTCTGTCTTTCTTAAGCCATATGAAAGGCATTCACTTGCAGGAACGCATCCAGCCACAGCTTGTGCTACACAAGCCGGCAGAAACGCTTTTGGCTTTTGTAGAGATTTGGCTCGCAGAAGTGACGGACAGCAATACGGAAGCCTGGCGGCAGGTTTTGTGAAAGGGGCCGTGATTTCGATTTGGAAGGCAATACAAAGCTCTATGTGTGAAACCCAAGTACTAATGGGATAAACCACCTACTTCCTGGCGCCGGATTTGTCTGGGGTTTTCCCAAAGCTGCTTCAATTGGTCTTCCCAATCGGACAGCCCCTCTTACGTGCGGTTCAGGAAATGAGGACAACTCCTCGCAGAGTTTGGAGAACTGAAATGACTAGAAGGGCCGCTGCCCGTGGCTCTGAATCCGTGGTCACGAACCTGCAAAGCACATTTTGCGAAGCATACTGTGGATAGACGAAATCCATTTCGCACCACTTTGACACCATGGGAAATCATTGTTTGTTGCTATTTACAGGGAAAACACATCATTCCAGGGTTTCTGAACGGTGGTGCGAAATGGATTTCGTCCATCCACAGTATGAATCAATGAACCATGGTTTGCCACACATCTTTGGTTGTTCCCGGAAAGAAAGGTGAAACTACCTTTGGAGACCCAGACCCCCAATGGCCACGGGAAAAGGGGCACCCTTTTGGGTAATGTTGACCCAGGATTAATAAGCCCGTCCCACTTTTTTTGGGGGGGTGTTCCCTTCAAAAGTAATCAATCCCCGCTAAAAGGGGACACCCCCCAATTAATCGACTAGGGGTATATTAATCCGGGGTTAACACTAGTTGACTCTGGCAGGCAGCTGTTGGGCCGCCACCAGCAGCCGCGTCATGTTTGATAGTGCGCTCTTAGATCTGCGTCGCAATCCACCACAACTGCAACGCTTTCGCCAAAAACGTTGTTCCGAATTTGGTCCACGAAAGCGAGTTGGAAACTCCCGGCAAAAGCGACCCCATTTTGGGGGGAACCAGGCATTTAGGGGCTTTAGAAAGGTGCTTCAGGGAAGCCAAAGGAACCCTTGCCGATTTTGAGACAAAATTTCCAAATCCGATTCTGACCTTCGAGACCACACTCGATCCGGAGAGTCGAGACGTCGACGAGGTCAAAGAGTCCTGTCGTTAGACTCAAAGGTGAGTTCCGGCTTCTCACCAGCGAGAATTGCCTTCAGAACTGGCAGCATGTATTGCTGCTTCCTAAGATCAGCAGGGAGGGACCAAAAGAATCATGGATCTGGTTTTCCCTTTCTACGTGAAGCCTCAAACATATCATTTGTTTTGCTCCTCGTATCTTTTGCTCACTGAACAAATGTTCAGGGGCTCTGAGCTCAATCTTTCTCACTCGAGCCCCAGGAGGTCTCTCGGGGCTCTCTCGGGGCCCAGTGAGCCCCAGAAAGGGAAGCTCTGGTCGCTCGCTTCGTCGGCTACCGAATTTCGCAGTTGGCTTCCAGTGGGCTTCGAGTTGGCTTTTTGAGTGATGGTATTGGCTTAGGCACCGGATTTGTTTGGCTTAGAGCGGGAGTCCTCGGTGGGCTTTGGATGGCCCACTCTCGGTTTCTGGTGGGAATTGATTGTCGGGAATTCACGTGTTTTGGAGGGGGGCATTGTTTTACCAGCCCAGGCATCTGTTTGTTGATCTGCACTTTTCCCTTTCCTTCGTGGGCCAGCCACCCTCACTGACAATAGCATTGGCAGTCTACTCTTCATGGGGGAACAACCCAGATTCGTGAGAAAAACCAGGGGGACTACCCATTGACCATGTGGGTATGCCAAAATCAGTTGGACGTCTGGTTCTCACGTTTTGAGAACCAAAACAAACCGCGGCATCTCTTGTGCTTTTTAAGGAAACCAACATTGAACTAACAGTAACTAACTGCTTGAACATGTCCAACTCGGCCTCTCGTCTGTGGGGAACCCTAGTAAGATTCCTAGTAATTTCCCTTTAAACCCACCCGCAAAAGGCACGGAGTTGTGGTCTTGAAAACTATGGGTCAGTTCACGTCCATTTCGGAGGGTCCAGCGCAATTTAAAAAAAAAAAAAAAAAAAAAAAAAAAAACAGATGCAACCATCTCCCGTGGGGTTGCGAAAGGGAAAATCAAGGCCCATTTGCTCAAGGGGTCCAAATGTTTGTTTGCAGACAAACATCCTTCCTGTCTATCTCAGCTTTTGCCCCACACGTGGCATGTGTTTAATTCTGAACCACATTCAGTGAGCCGAACAATGTAAAATCAATGAGCAGAAATCCCAGCTTCGCCTGCACCAGCGTATGGAAATCTCTACCCAATGACTATCAAGTGGTTTGTTCAGTGATCTTCCTTAGGAATCGGTTGGGGCCATTTGAGAGAAATCCCTGGGGTGGTCCTGCAGATTAGCTGCGGCATATGTCTAAATTGGGAGCGTCCCCTGGAAATCTTAAAACGGCGGCTGCCTTTTGGTTTCCCTTTAAACCATTTGTTTTAAGGGGAACCGACCGTAGGTGTTTTGGTACAATAGATGGGTTCCACTGGCAAATGGAGCATGAAACCCATCTAAACCCGTGGTTTGCCCATCATATGTCTAACCCAACCAACCTAAAAAGCTAAACAGGACACCTATGAACCCTACAAAAACTCCTGTACACGCAACCCGCGTTTCCTTTTTTCCTCCCAGGCGCATGATGAGGTACCGTGGGTCGGCGCACAGGACGGCCACTCTTTCGTCCAGCAGGGCTAAGGGCGTCTCCAGTCCCACAGCCGCGGGGTGAAGCTCGGGAGGCAGCTTGGAGAGGTAGCAGGTGTGGCCCTGCGAGCGCTCACCCCCTCTGGTGTTATTTTTTGCTAGGTTTTGCAGTAGAGAGGTTAGAATAAGGGTACCCTTTTTTCTGTAGTCGATTTTAGTAAGGGAACCCTCCCCCAATAACAGGGTAAAAGGGCACTACTGGGGGTAAAAGAGCACTATTTGGCTGCGGGTCAAAAATAGTCTAACCCCAAAATTTGTTGCCCTGGAAAATGGAACCAAAGACTAAAATCTCTGGTCCCCCGCTAAATTAATTTTGACCCGAACCCGTTTTTTGGTAAACGCTCTTTGGGTCCAAGAGGGCACCCGTGAAGCTAGACCCTTCTTTTTTTGCTTGATTTCTGTGATCTTTGGGTCCAAAAGCATGATCTTCTCAGTGTAGCCTTTTGCGACGATTCTACTTCGCACGCCTGGTCCTTTCTTTCTGCAGACCCACCTTGTAGGAATTGCTTCTTTGATGACGTTGTCGTCGACTGTAGACGCATCTACTTCATCGTAGACGTCATGCAGTTTCATTTGGTTTGGCTCGTGTTTCATTCCTTCCAGTAGTTGTGTTTCGTCGTAACCTTCGTTGCCGGAGAATGTAGGTTGGTCTTCGGAGGTGTCGTCGATTGTGTAGGAAGTGATGGGTGTTCCGTTGGGAAGTGTCACTGCGTTAATTTTCTGTCGTAGTGGTTGTGGTTCTTCGGTTGCTTGCTCCGTTGATCTGATTGTAGTGTCCTTTGAGGACTTCTGTGCTGTCGGTTGCATTACTTCTTCCGGAGTCAAGCGTCGTAGTGTTTGTCGAGGTGGTGCTGGTGGTGGATGTTGCCGTCCGGCTGGTGAAGTAGCCATGGGGCTATCCGGGAGTGGTCGCAAACTTGACGTCGATGTCGACGGAAGTCGTGGAGGTGGCGTAGCGCGTTGTTGTTTTGTTGCGGGTTCCGCGACGATGTCGTCCGTCACGTTCGTCTGTTGTCCAAAGTCTAGTGTAGCTCGTCTCTTTTCTGACGATGTATAGTTGCGTGTCCAACAGTGTTGCAAATGACGGGTTGTAGGTGTTTCGTCGTGGCGCCCAGGGTGTGCCGGAAACTTTGTTTAGTAGCGCGAGGTCGTAATTGAAGTCTGGTTGCTTGTAGTCTCCGTACTGTTCGTACTTTCTGAACGCCTGTTTCCGTTGCTACGTAGTTTTCTCCGGTTTCGGAAACTTTTCCGAGCCAGATGCATTTCTGCATTCGTAGGTCTGCTTTTGGAAGTTTCTTGTGTTGTGGTGGGAGGTAAAGTAGTGTTTCGCCAAATTCGCAAATCACTCGCTCGTAGTTTCTTCCCCAGCGACGTTCGAAGCTCGTGTAGCCGTCTGAGTGGATGACGTAGCGATTTAACCGTCCATGCTGCATGTCGTAGACAGTGCTTCGTGGACATTGGCATGCTGTAGTTGCTTTCAACTTGTGCTTTGACAACGCGTATCGGTCCTGTTTTTTGACCTCGACCACGCGAATCTCCGCAGAAGGTCGCGCGCGCACCGCAGAAATCGTAAAAAGTCCGCAGATTTGTTTACCTCGACCACACGAATCTCCGCAGAGGGTCGCGCGCGGCTTGCAGAAATCGTAAAAAGTCCTCAGTTTTTTAACATCGACCACGCGGATCTCCGCAGAGGGTCGCAATCCCGAGCGACGATCAAACTCCCGCCTAGAAACCTAAACTAACTTACATAGCTGCTTACGCCGAAGCTCTACGCAAGCTCTACCTCACCTTGGCTCTGTGCCACCTGGCTCTGTGCCACTTGGCTCTGTGCCACTTCGCTCTGTGCCACTTCGCTCTGTGCCACTTGGCTCTGTGCCACTTGGCTCTGCGCCACTTGGCTCTGTGCCACTTGGCTCTGTGCCACTTGGCTCTGTGCCACTTGGCTCTGTGGCTCTGTGCCACTTGGCTCTGTGCAAGTTGGCTCTGTGCGCTTGGCTCTGTGCCACTTGGCTCTATGTAACTTGGCTCTGTGCCACTTGGCTCTGTGCCACGTGGCTCTGTGCCACTTGGCTCTGTGCAACTTGGCTCTGTGCCACTTGGCTCTGTGCCACTTAGCTCTGTGCCACTTGGCTCTGTGTAACTTGGCTCTGTGCCACTTGGCTCTGTGTAACTTGGCTCTATGTAACTTGGCTCTATGTAACTTGGCTCTATGTAACTTGGCTCTATGTAACTTGGCTCTATGTAACTTGGCTCTATGTAACTTGGCTCTATGTAACTTGGCTCTATGTAACTTGGCTCTGTAACTACTGTGTAACTTGTCCAAGGGCTCAGCACGGAAGAACCCTTCGCGATGCTTTCGGGAAAAAAACATGTTTCACGCCTGTCCATGGTGCCCACATCGCTACCCGTGGAGAATGCTGCTGCTGCTGCTGCTGTTGCTGCTGCTGCTGCTGTTGCTGCTGCTGCTGTTGCTGCTGCTGCTGTTGCTGTGCTGCTGCTGCTGTTGCTGCTGCTGTTGCTGCTGCTGCTGCTGCTGTTGCTGCTGCTGTTGCTGCTGCTGCTGTTGATGCTGCTGTTGCTGTTGATGCTGCTGCTGCTGTTGCTGCTGCTGCTGCTGCTGTTGCTGCTGCTGCTGCTGTTGCTGCTGCTGCTGCTGTTGCTGCTGCTGCTGTTGCTGCTGCTGCTGCTGTTGATGCTGCTGCTGCTGCTGCTGTTCAAACGTCGAATATCAAATCTGCGGCAAAGGACAACATCACATTGGGGCCAAAAACCAACTGAGCAAAAAGCGGGCAAAACTGTGAGCAGCACAGCTAACACTTCTTGGCTTCAGGAGTGCGTCATACACGCATTTTCTCTCTCACTTTTCGCCGATCATCCTGCATCATGAAGCCTTGGAGGCCTTGCGCACAAGTGCCAATACACTCTGTATCGGCTCCTGCTGACACTCATTCGGAATTTCATACTGAAAAACTGCGAAGTCTGCTAAGAACAGCCAGCAAAGCGCTCGCAAGTATCTGCTTCCAGTATGAGGCGCGCTTGTGTCCGTGGAGTCTGCCCTTGCCAAACCCAAAAAGCTCTCCATACCCTTTTTGTCACGATCATCGTGGTAGTGATTGGCCAGCCAAAGGGTGGAACAGTTTCGTTTTGCAGTGCAAACATCTTGACCCAATCGTCTTGCAAATGCTCGGTTCTGCCAATAAAGTCCATTGGGATTGAACAGCCACCAACTGGAAGAAAGAATTCGATCTGCGGTCGCACGTGACCATTGTTCTCAATTCCAGTTTGCAAGAACTCGATAAAGAAAGCTGCGGCTCTCTCGGGGCTGCCGACTGGATGCCCTTGCAGCGCCTGGGACAAGTTTTCCAACTTGGGCCAGCCGATCGCAGCACGAGATCGATATTCAAGCTCTGAGTAGCCGGAAATGAAGCGGGATATTGGATCTCTGACGAAAGCGAAAGCTGTGCGTCGGGTAGCATCAACGAGATGAAACTGCTTGCATGTGGCAGCATAGGGTGCTCGATAAAAGTCCTTTGTAATTTGGTGCAAATTTGCCCACGTATTTATACCAGCAGCCTTGAACACGTGGCGATAGAACATGGACCTCGTGCTTGATACACCACCACCCTGCGTCTCCTCAGAAGCCATGTTGTCTAGATGCCCGCTGGGCATCCATGGTAGGAAAGAAGAGTTCGTCTCGGCTTGCACATGCGGCCACACAGCAAGACGAAGCTCTGAGAGAGCAGGAAGGCAGGCTTCTGTGGCCTTGGGACACTCCTTTCGTGCCACGAGCAAAAGTGACACCAAGTGCTGCACCTCGGTGCTGGGCGCATCTAAATGAAGAGCAAGCTGCAAAAAGAAGTCCTGGTCTTCAGGGCTCTCCGGGCCAGTTTGGACACTGCCGTTGTCCGAGACGGAAACCGTCCTGGTCACTTTGAGAAGAGTCACCAGGGCAGGAAGTCGCAGAAAGACCCACATTGAACAAGCTGTGAATGTTTCGGTGTCGTCTTATGGAAGGATGGTTTGAGCCAAAATGCTTGATATGATTGCACATGCATTCGCTCTCACAGTCGCGTTTGGTTGGGACCCATGAAAATGACATCAATTGTTTGGAGGAGTCCTGGTTTGACACACTTTCACTTGTGCCAGGGTCAAGCAAAGCAACTGGCTTCAGGGTGGCAATTTCCCACCAGTACAAGAGTACCAGGATTCTTGTTGGACTCCGGATTAGACGGGGAAGAGTGCCCAGTAAATCCCGAAACCCGATATCAAATACCCAAAAACCATGGCAACCAATCGAAAAAGCAGGACAGTTCCGTTATGAACCTTCAATTGCCCACATTAGTTTTTGATGTTGGCTCAAGTGTGTGTTTCCTCAAAATCGGTCGGAAACCCTGCAAGTTGTGGGTGTTAGTTTGCTTAACCTGTTTATAACAATTATTTTCGATAGAGCTCTGCGCCCTTTTTCCTTTGGGCATTAAAAAGGGTCTACAGTATTCGCAGCCCTCACCTCATGTTCAAACGCAAAAGCGGGGTCCGTGACTCATGCACCTCAGTTTAGACCAGGGAGATTCCCCGCCAGCTACTGCTGCTCACCTACTGCCTTTGAAATTCGTAGCCTGCCATCCCACCAGATTATATACACCAAACAGATTTCCCACCAGCTACTGCTGCTCACCTGCCGCCTGTGTGTCCTGCCATCCCACGAGTTTAGACCAGGAAAATTTCTCACCAGCTACTGCTGCTCACCTACTGCCTCTGAAATTTGTATCCTGTCATCCCACAAGTTTGGACCAGGCAGATTCTCTTACCAGCTGCTGCTGCTCATTTACTCCTTTGTACCCTGCCATTCCACAAGTTTTGGCCAGGCAGATTTCTCACCAGCTACTTCTGCTCATCTGCACCCTGTCCGAAAGTTTCGGCAAAAAACATGGAACTTTGAGTCTCGAAAAAACCCACGACACGCCACAAAACTGGCCCGGATCGTAGCTAGAGAGATGTCTCTTAGAGGAAAGGTAGTAGCAGCGACACACAGGCTTGTCTGCAAAGGGCCATGAAGACCAGAAAGCCCACGACACACCACGACACACCACGACACATCACACAAATTCTGAAAAATACAAACTGTGTCGTGGTGTGTCGTGGCGTGTCGTGGGTTTTCTGGGCCGCGCGCTTTTCGTGGTGTGTCGTGGGTGTGTCGCTACTACTTTTCCTCTAAGACACATCCCTCTAGCTGTGATCCGGGCCAGTTTTCTGAAAGTGTCGTGGTGTGTCGTGGCGTGTCGTGGGTTTTTTTTCGGGGCTCAAAGTTCCATTTTTGTTGCCGAAAATTTCGGACAAGGGGCAGATGAGCAGCAGTAGCTGGTGAGGCCTAAACTTGTGGGATGGCAGGGTACAAAGGGAATAGACGAGCAGCAGCAGCTGGTAAGAGAATCTGCCTGGTCCAAACTTGTGGGATGGCAGGATACAAATTTCAGAGGCAGTAGGTGAGCAGCAGTAGCTGGTGGAAAGGCTGTTTGGTCTAAACTGGTGGGATGGCAGGATGCAAATTTCAACAGCAGTAGTTGAGCAGCAGTAGCTGGTGGGAAATCTCCCTGGTCTAAACTGGTGGGATAACAGGGGACAAATTTCAAAGGCAGTAGGTGAGCAGCAGTAGCTGGTGTGAAATCTCCCTGGTCTAAACTGGTGGGAAGGCAGGATACAAATTTCAAAGGCAGTAGGTGAGCAGCAGTACTGGTGGGAAATCTCCCTGGTCTAAACTGGTGGGATAACAGGGTACAAATTTCAAAGGCAGTAGGTGAGCAGCAGTAGCTGGTGGGAAATCTCCCTGGTCTAAACTGGTGGGATGGCAGGATATAAATTTCAAAGGCAGTAGGTGAGCAGCAGTAGCTGGAGAGGATACAAACTTCAAAGGCAATAGGTGAGCAGCAGTAGCTGGTGAGAAATTTGCCTGGTGGGATGGCAGGATGCAAATTTGAAAGGCAGTAGGTGAGCAGCAGTAGCTGGCAAGAAATCTCCCTGGTCTAAACTGGTGGGATGGCAGGATACAAATTTCAACTGCAGTAGGTGAGGGCCAGTAGCTGGCGGGAAGTCTGTTTGGCCTAAACTGGTTGGATGGCAGGATATCATTTTGAAAGACAGTAGGTGAGCAGCTAGTAGCTGGTGGGAAATATCCCTGGTCTAAACTGGTGGGGTGGCAGGATACAAATTTCAAAGGCAGTAGGTGAGCAGCAGTAGCTGGTGGGAAATCTGTTTGGTCTAAACTGGTGGGATGGCAGGATGCAAATTTGAAAGGCAGTAGGTGGGCAGCAGTAGCTGGTGAGAAATATCCCTAGCCAAAACTCGTGGGATGGCAGGACACAAAGGCAGCCGGTGAGCAGCAGTAGCTGGTGAAAAATCTCCCTGGTGTCTAAACTCGTGGAATGGCTCGAGCGGCACTGCCGCCTGCAAACATCCAAGTCTCATAATTTCGATACGTGTATACAAGGTTTCAATGTTATTTAGCGGTTATCTGTGCAAATATATCAATACTTGCACAACATATATGTATTCTACAACTGTGGGCTTGAAAAGCTAGGAAATCACTAAAACATATAACTGTTTTAACTGCTTTAACTGCTTTCAACCCTAAAAAATAACTGTTTTAACTGTTTTAACTGTTTTGAATTTCACGCGGCTCGTCAGCACTAAAGCAGTTATCCCAGTTAGCAACTGATGCAACTGGTGACCAACTGAACCAACTGCTGCAACCATGACTTATAACTCCTAACGAACCCTAATAGTAGTTGCGTGTCCAACAGTGTTGCAAATGACGGGTTGTAGGTGTTTCGTCGTGGCGCCCAGGGTGTGCCGGAAACTTTGTTTAGTAGCGCGAGGTCGTAATTGAAGTCTGGTTGCTTGTAGTCTCCGTACTGTTCGTACTTTCTGAACGCCTGTTTCCGTTGCTACGTAGTTTTCTCCGGTTTCGGAAACTTTTCCGAGCCAGATGCATTTCTGCATTCGTAGGTCTGCTTTTGGAAGTTTCTTGTGTTGTGGTGGGAGGTAAAGTAGTGTTTCGCCAAATTCGCAAATCGCTCGCTCGTAGTTTCTTCCCCAGCGACGTTCGAAGCTCGTGTAGCCGTCTGAGTGGATGACGTAGCGATTTAACCGTCCATGCTGCATGTCGTAGACAGTGCTTCGTGGACATTGGCATGCTGTAGTTGCTTTCAACTTGTGCTTTGACAACGCGTATCTGTCCTGTTTTTTGACCTCGACCACGCGAATCTCCGCAGAAGGTCGCGCGCGCACCGCAGAAATCGTAAAAAGTCCGCAGATTTGTTTACCTCGACCACGCGAATCTCCGCAGAGGGTCGCGCGCGGCTTGCAGAAATCGTAAAAAGTCCTCAGTTTTTTAACATCGACC